CCGCGGGGCCTGGTACCACCCGTGCCGCGGGGCCTGGTCCCCAACCTGCTCCCCAGCCGCCCCCAGCCCCTCAGCCCACCCCGGAGCCAGGCCCGACACAGTCCCCGCTGGACGACACCCGCTTCCTCATCTCCAGCACCAACTGGTACTAACGCCGTAGCTCCTTCTCCCCGCCGGACCCGAGCTGAGGAGCCACATCCATCACCCCAGAGAGTGAGAGTGAGAGAGAGAAGCCTTCCCCGTCCCTCCGCTGGGGAGGGTCCTCAATAAAGGAGGCCGATCGGCTGCAAGCCACGAAGCACGGGTTTTATTTTGCCACCTCAGAGCTGAGGAGCGGGGCAAGTGCCTTGAAGAGCTGGTTGAGGCGCTCAGCCTCTCGCCAGCCCGACAGCAGAGCTCCATGGGTGGTGGAGTAGAAGGTGCGGTGGGTGGCCTCGCCGGCGAAGAGGAGCTGCAGAGGCTGCGGCAAGGTGGCAGGTGAGCGCCGGGGGCCTGCTGCCTCCCCCAGCCCAGCAGGGACACCAGGTCCTGCTAAACCAGCCTCATCTCCCTGCCCTTTGGCACCCCGCGGATGCATGACTTGCTCTGCAGCCATGTAGAGACCAAGGAGTGGGCACCTTCCCTTCCTTAGAAACCCACCCCATGCTGTGAGGATGCTGGAAAGTGGTCAGAAGGAGCTGTGTGTCCCCAAATTTTATGGAAATGGGGTCCCCCCCTGCATGGAGCTCAGTGGGAAGAGCCAAGGGTGGTTGGTTGGTGACCCCTGAATAGAACGGGAATGGGGAATGCCACCTCCCTGTGCTCCTCAGGGCCTGAGGTGCCCTGGCCCCACCCCTGTCCGTCTGTCCCCACGCCCGGGGGGGGTCCTGCTTCCCTCATGGCTGCTGCATCCCCTGGGCCTAAAGAAATTACCCTGGGGTCCTTGGGGTCCTCAGGCAGGGGCTGAGCCAGCACGTCAATGTCGTCCCCTGAGCTGCCAACGGCCACGTAGCTGTAGGAGCCCCGGGTGTAGGAAGCACTGTGCCACCGGGACCTAAGCATGCTCCTGGGAGCGGGCAGGTGCGGGTTCCCTGCGGGCACGGATTCTGGGTGGCATCCAGAAATCCGGGTGTGTGTTTCCCGGGGAGGGGGTTGGGGTGACGAGGTTGGAGAAGGCAGCGGTACCTGTCAGCGTGCGGAGGACACGAGTCATGGTGCTGAGAACCTCCGCATCACTCAGCGTCTCCATGTACTCCGACTCCTCCCCCGCGATGAAGCCACAGAGGACGTGCCCGTGCCTGGGGAGGAAAGACGGGGCCGAGAGCTGCCTGCTGCCCTCCTGCTGCTCACCGGGCACTGTGCCCTCCCTGCCCTGGGAGCGCTGCTGCGTTATGAGCCATCAGCGACCCAGAGAAGGTCTTGAAGCTCCAGACAGGACCGAGATGCTCCTTCATATTGCCTGGAAGATGCCCAAACCCCCCTGGTCGTGATGCCCCTTTGCTGACGTTCCCGTCACGTACTGCTCCGGCGGTTGGAGGACCACGAATCCAATGAGCTTTTTGAACCAGGTGGCCTCCAGGTTGGCACTGGGCTCCTCGAGGGGCGACTCGTCCTCCCACACCACTTCAAGGAGCTGCTGCTCGGGTTCCCAGAAAGGCTGCTCGAACTCCAGGAAGATCTTGTTGTTGGTGCCGAAACCCAGGCGGCGAATGGCCTCTGCTTTCCGCTTGGGCAGGGGAGGCTGGAAGAAGTCCTGGTGGCGTTCCTTGAGGAAACCTGCAGGCAGAAGATTGGACAGTTCTGTTTGCCAGGTTCCTAAAACGGGGTCTGAGATACTTTTCCCCTCCCCAAACCCCTTCCCAGCCTCCCCTCTCCCACCAGGGGAAACTGGGAGAGGGGAAGCTGGGAAGGTGTTTGGGCAAGTCCCTGCCCTCCATCCGCCCATCTCCAACCACGCCAACTGGTTGGAAGGGACAAGCAGGGCAAGGAAAGGTGTTGGGTGTCCTCACCCAGCGGGACGGTGATGATGACGTGGTCGGCGAGGAAGGTGTCTCCGTCCTCACACTCCACTCGGACGGGGAAGTCCCTGGCCTCGTCCCCTTCCTCGCGGAAGGACCCTTGCCACCAGATAGTCCTCACTGCCTTGCTGAGCAGGACGGTGCCCTCTGGCAGAGCCGAGAGCATGTGATCGGGCAAGCCGCTGTAGCCGCTGCGGGAGGAAGTGCTGCTGGGGATGGGGTGCCCCCCACAAAATGCTCTTCCACCTTCCCCGCTGGAGCCTCGCGCTTACCCTGGGAAGGTGCAGTCCAGGCCAGGCAGGGAGACGTACTCCCCGAAGGGCTCCAGGGCCACCAGGTCCATGCTGTGGGTTCCGCTGATGCAACACTCCAGCTTGAAGCAGGCGGCGAGGGCGGCCAGCTGGAGCCGCTGGGCGTCCTCCTCGCCCCTTCCCAAAGCGGGGACCCTCCGGGCGATCTCCGTCCGCAGGTACTGTCCCACGCTGGGTGCCGGCGGCTCCTCGGACCCGCAAAAAGCGCGGGCGGAGGCCAGAAGGGTGTTGAAGAGGTCACGGGCTTCGCTTACCACCTGGGAGCTCAGCACCCTCCCTGAGCTGCCGTAGGTGACGGAGGGCAGCGGGGGGTGGCCCCCCGCCTCCGCCTGCTGGTTCTCCTCCCGGGCAGCCTCCGGGCCCAGCAGGCCGTAGCGGGTGGCCAGGCGGAAGACGGGGTTCCCCGGCGAGGGGCCGTGGATCCAGTGTGCCCCCATCTCCACCAGCCCCGATGCTGCGGGGAGGGAGGGCGGGAAAGGGGGTCACCCCAAGGTGTACGTGTGGCAGGACCCCCAA